AAACCGAAGTATGTAGACACCACACGTATCTGAAACATCCAGACTAGAGAAGTGCCCAAGAGCACTGAACTGTACACTTTCAAAATGACTGATTTCATATTCAGGGAGTTTTATTTCAATAGAACAGAAACACACCCTGGCCGATCTGGTTTCAGGACTCGGCTTTAACCACGGCACTCAGGAGCTCTAACAAACATAGCCCTCCCTTTCACATCCAAGCTCTTGCTGTAGTTTGGATCCTGAATCTCACCAAGGGCCCCGGCTACTGGGAGGTTGTAGGGCCTTTAAGATACAGGGTGTAGTTGGGGGGCTGTCTTAGGTTATTGGGGGCAGGTTTTAGAGGGGGATAAGCAGACCTCAGCCCCTTCTTTCACTTTTCCACACCCAGCAACAGGGTAAATGAGTCCCTTTGATCATGTGTTCCCACCCTAATGTGCTTCCACAGGCTCAAAGTAATGAGTCAACTGGTCATGGACTAAAGGCTCCAAACTGTGGGCCCAAATAAACACATTATCTTTTCTCAGGTATTTCTCAGAGTAACAGAAAGCAAATACATCCAGCTTCCTCTAAGCAGCAATATAGTTTCAAAATAACCAAGAAAGATCCATAGTGATCCCTACCCTACATTCCTTTCTGTCTCAGAGAGGACATGGCTGGAGGCAAGGATGACCAGGATGCTCTTTGAGTGGGACACATAGACCAGGAACACGCTGATAAGGATCTCTCCTACTGTGGCACCATTAAAAGGTGGACAGTAGGCAGCAGGCAGCTGGCTGGGAAAATAGGGCCCAGAGAGCAGGAAGACAAGGCAGTCCTGGGGTTTGGGCATGAGGCAGTTGCTATAGCTTTCTATCCAATTCACAGGGCCCAGCATTCAGGACGAGCAGAGTGAGCTATACAATCTGGAGAGTCATAGGTAAATCAAAGTTCACTTTTACGTACCTCATAGTTTCCACTTATGAGACTAATAAGCAAGATTATCTATTGTTCAGTTAGGGAAGTCAAATCCCCTTGTTGACAAGATGGAAGAGAATGAAAAATAAAAAACACTTAAAAACTTTTACTACCCTGCAATACTGGATGACTGTAAAATGAGCTGGCTGCTGGCTAGAACCTCACTTTTTTTTTTTTAAACAGATTTTGATGTAAGGGTCTTACAGTGTTTTCAACTAGGACATTTATAGACGGCTTCAGTCATTCAACAAACAGCATCTTGCAGGCACTGAGCCGGACGGAGGAGCACAGAGAGAGAATGGGTAATCTGCCGTGCAGCGGCGGCGGGCCAGCAGGCAGCACGAGAGGCTGCCAGTCACTGGGCAGGGAAGCCGGCTGTGCCACACTCCATACAACAAGAACCTTTGAGTTTCTCCTCTTCAGCAAACGGTATTTCCATGCGTACAGGCATGGTGCTGCTCGTCTAGTTAGAGTTGAGCACTGAAGAAATCTGGGTCACTATGCCTGTTGACACTGAACACAAGACAGCTACATCTGACTGTCCTCGTCTGCTTCTGAATGACTCATGGTGCTCTCGGTACCAGTGACGCCACTTCTGTGCTTTTCCCAACCAGCCTGCCATCCAGTGCCCTGTTTCTAGGTCCAGTCCAACTGGGGGAAACCAGAAACATGGCTTACTTTCTCAGGGTCCTGTTCCCTGCTCCACTGTGAACGCCAAGGTTTACCCAATTCCACCGCCTACCCAAGTCCAGATGCTCAGGCAGAAACTGAGAGCTGGGATGGGCAATCCCACATGAGCCCTGGGGAGAGCTGGCAGGACAGTGTGGGACAAGCCAACAGAGAGGAATTCCATTTTAGTGCCTCCTCCTCCTCCGAGACTCCTAACTTTAGACCAAAGATAAAGCTGCGTAGGAGTTAAGAACAGTCAAGTCTGGATCAGTAAAGGACTGTCAAGTTTATGCTTAAACGGGCTCAGCAATCCACTTCTGGGTGTGCATCCAAAGGAAATTTTAACCATTGTGTTGAGAGGATGCCTGTACGTACCCCATGCTTATAGGCACACTATTCATAAAGCCGAGATATGGGATTACCACAAACATCCATCAATGGATGAATGGAAGAAGAAGGCACAGGGAGCACATATTCAATGGAATACTAGTCTGTCTTTAAAAAGATAAGATCCTGCCATTCGCAGCAACATGCATAATCACAGAGGACATTATGCTTAGTGGAATAAGACAGACAGAAAAACACATATTGTATGTTCTCTTTTATGTGTGGAA